AGACGCGCGGGAACGTGATTAAGGGCAAGAGGGGAGGGGCTATTTTTCTGCTATTAAATCAAAACTGTCGTATAAAAATTATGCAAAAAAAAATATGAAGATTGTTTTTACTACCACCTACTTAAAGAAAATTTGTTATAAAATTAAAAGACAGGTTTTTTTCACAGATAATTTCTGAAATTTAAAAATACACATTTTTCAAGGGTAAGGTAATTTATAGTATTTCAGTTTAAGATCTTTGAATTTTTTTTTCATGATATGCATATCAAAAAGATTACTACATTTTTGTGTTAAATGGTAAAAAGAATAAGTCAATTAAATTTGACAGTTATAGCTAACCTGGCTTTTTTGAAAATCAAGGTTTAAGTAGTTCATTATTTAAGAATTTTCTCTCCTCGTAATCAAATAAAGGGGGTTAACTTTTGGAATTTACTTTCCAAAAACAACTTTAACGATTTCGTCCAAAACGTGCATACACACGGTAGATATAGTAATATATTAAATATACAAAAATAGCGAAAATCAAACGACAGGATCTTTTTGGGATGTGTACTATATAGCATTGTGTATTATTCTATTTCTAAAAAGGCCCCAAGGACGCATAGTGTTCGCACTGATAGAGTCACCCTCTTAAAATAAGGTATTATTATTATTAGTAATATTAGTCAACGTTGAATGAAAAGCTGTGTATCATTTGTGATGATGAACACATTGATCATGAAATGCATGCTTCCATCACAAGGAAGTGGTTTGTGGGTCATGAACTTCTATGATTTGCATATTGATTCACTTACAAGAAAATATATACAGATTACGAACAGTGTTCAAGCCGAAAAATTTCCTCAAACAATACAATTTAGTAGCTTAACAAACATTGACCTAAGTAATGGTCAGTGATGTGTGAACATTCCCTGCAGACTGTCACACGCTCCGTTTGCTACTTCTCATGACAAAAAACGCAAAAATCTGTCGACAATTTAATGTGAAAAATATGTCCTTATAATTACTATGAAGAAAAACAGTCAGTATTTCACTTACCGGGTAATAATAAATTCTATTTGATGGCAAGAGCACTGTATCCACTTAATTAAACAAATTACAACTAATGCCAATGTTATCACCTGCATTGTCAACTGGGACCACTACATACAAATTGGATAACCTATTCAATTCTTTTTCACGTATAAAATTTTTAACTCAGGAAAGGAAAATGTCTTCTACTGTACACATCTATTTCCCTAAAGGCTAACACATGTAATGATGAGTTATTAGTTATTATTAATATAATATAAGTATAGCCCAATTAACAAAATTCTAAATCAGGGATCAAACAAATATCAATGCTTAGAATTATGTGTTAAACCAAGTGTTGAGTTTGAAGATAAGGACATGTTTACGTCACTCGTATTTCAATAATTATTTATTCACAGCACACTAAAAGGATTCCATACATCTAATTATGCAAATGAATCAAACCTCTTTAAGAGTATTTGGTTTTCATAAATATTAGATTTAAATAAGACAGCATAACAAAAAACAAATGACATTGAATAAGTATTGGACAGTTAAGCAAATTGATGGTTATGTAATTAAGGAGATAATCAACCAACTCTCTCTCTCTCTCTCTCTCTCACACACACTCTTTCTCTCTCGTATTGCTAACTTGCCCTTCAAAACAGAGTCTCTAGATGTTCTTCTCATCGGCATCAGAGAACTGTTTATAAAATTCATAAAAAATGCATCATTCGTAAAGTAATGGTGAAATAGAGGTAAAAATTATTCGACATTGCCAGCTTATGCATATCATCATTACCTATAAAATGTCATTTTCAGTGTTTTAAAAATACTAAAGAAGTATTTGAAATTATTGCATTCAAATGTGTGCTCAAAACGTAAACATATGTAAGTTTCGAGGTTAAGTCATTAAAAAGATATGTCTTCAGTGGAAAAAATGTGTTTGATTGCTGAATTGTAGAATCTGAATAATATAATATGTCTTTAATTGAACTTTAATTTGTAAAATAACATGCGTCAATAAGCCAACAGACACAAAATGTTACTTATGATATTAACTAATTTCCCGAACCAATTCTTGTATTCACCAAGCTATGTTATATACTGCTTCACTCTGCTGTTTCTGGATTGTCATTAAGGTTAAAGAAAAAATGCTAAATTTACTGTACTTTTTGTTTATTTTTAATAAATCAGATATAATCAATATAAAAATTTTTTAGATGGAGAAGAGAGAGAGAAAGAGAGAGAGAGAGATATCTTTCTGTCAACTATGTCAGTTTTGTGCCAACTGATTTCGAACATGACTTAGAACATAGGAAAAAAAGGTTAAAACTTTGATAATAGTTAGGAACATGCTAGATTTCCTCAAGCAGACTTTGTGAAGGAACGAGAAATCATAATTTAAAATCTTTTACTGTGAAGATAACAATAGTTAATGTTAGAATGGCACTCATTTTAGTGATGTCTCAGTTGCCTTTCGGTCACATTTCAGGTACCTCTCAGTCAATTTCAGCGAACACATTTCCATCAAATGACAAAAAATTAGCAATATCACATAGGCTGATTTTTACTATTTAGCTTTTCCTGATAAAATTCACCTGGCTTGGTATATTTTTCTTGAGTTTTTATAACACTTTTAGCACCATGGTAACCTTTTCTGAAAATTGTTTTCACCTGTAAACCTTTACTGAATGTGATTTTTCTGTATTTGTTTTTTCAATGAAATATTACTAATATTTTCCAAGATTTTTTAATATTCCAGTTCTTAGGAGAAAAAATTCTAAGAACCGTCCACTTTTTTTAAACTTGTGACATGACATTTAATCTTTTTCAAAGAAAAAATTTGTTTGTATCATCTGTCCTTAATATTTTCTCCAAAGTTCCGGCGTACGAATATCAGACAAAAAAAAAGATTTATAAAGTATTTCAGAGAGTACACAAGAGCATTTGATATACTAGGCAAAAATATTCATTTGAATTACACGTTTTTTATTATGCAATAATAAAGATGAATTGATTTTTTTTAGAACTCAGATAATGTTTGCTATAATTTTCTACTAATGCTCAATATTGTGATGTTGCTATTTCTAAACTTGTAGTACTCGGAGGTAAGGGAAATGTAGATTTAAAATACATAATCATGCATATTTCTTTAGACAAGTAAACACTATAAAATCACATAAATCACAAAATTTCTACATTAAAATTCCATATTGCAGCATCCATCATTTACTGAAAAAAGTCACGCTTCCCTAAACTTATGCTCCCTTATAAGGGGTTTGCTTGTACAATCTCGAGGGCTTTAAAATAACGTAGAAAAATTATCATATGGAACCTTGTGACGTAGTTTAACATTTAGACCTAATAATATTTTTCCTGTAACGCCAACAGGAGTTGTAATATATACACATATACAATAGATGTATGGAAAGAGTTGAAATTAAATAAGGGTTGTTTTCTGGAATATATTTCATGCATAGAGCTTGGTTATTAGATTACCATTAACGTCTTTTTTAAAATAAAAGTCATAATTTCTTAAGTTATATGGTTGATAAATGACTTTGTCAGCATATACAATCTATCAATAAGTCAATGCTGACAGACAGTTTTTGTACTAATTTCAAACTTATTTACACACTGTACTGTCGATGGAATTTCGGATTTTCTCATTTTTGTCCAATTATAACAAGGAGGAAACATCGAGTGTGAGCGTTCGGCAGACAGTGTTCACTCCTCTATGAATCATCTTTTTTTATATTTTAGAAATCTGTGTTTGCTCTGCTCCAAAATTTGTTTTACTATTGAATACTGTTCGTTATCTCCATATTTTTCATCCAACTACAAACTCCTTTTAATTTTAAGATAGTTTTAAACTGGAAAGATTTAATAATTAAACGAACTTCATTTTAAAAAATCGACTGGTAGGGATACCACGCCTGCTTAAACACGCTGCACCAGACAAACACAAATATCTCTGACAGTGTAGTTTATTAATAAACTTTTGTATAGCGCAGCATTCCTATCCACAAGTACATGTCTATTGCAGTTCATAAAAGCCGATCCTGGTGATCAAATAAGAAAATTTGGATTTGTTTATGATAAATGAAAAGCTATACGGATCCAGCATTACCAATCTTTCATGTAAATTTGTTTTCCTTTTGTCAAAAGTTACGCTTACATATTATACACGATCTCGATATGAAAGTGAAAGTAGAAACATTGTGTAGCACTTGAAGTAAAATGTTACATTCAGATCGTTATCCATACGATTCTTTGAGTTTCAACAATTTAATGAAAACTTTTTGTTTTTATAAGGCCTGCCGCCTATGTATTAAGCAACTGAAGTTCAGCATCCCAATGCCGTTTTTATTCAAAGAACCCAATGCTGATTTGACTGAGTGACAATTGAATAAAGTTATTGAACCAATGCCGATTTACTGGCGATTGTGTGATGACAAACCAGGTACATACAATAATAATTATAGTTTTTACCAGTAATGGCTATTCAAGGAAAGAATATTTCCTGACAAAATTCTTTCTGTACTTGTACCTTAATTCACGATTTAATGGCTTTTAAAAAAAATAAACCAACTCTTTTTTACAGAACAATATTCAAGCACATTTTTAAAAACCTGTGAGGTATGGAGAGAATTTCTGGCCATAAACCAATACAGTATCTACCAGTGTACATGTGGGGATAGATTTTCATCTAAAGCAGACATACAAGGTACTAGTTTATGTGTTCATGATTTACAAGTGTCAAAAGAACAATAAAAAAATGACTTAATTTTATGAAATTAAAAAAATAGGCCTACTGAACAAAACTGAAATAAAAGACTCCAACAAGTATCAGATGATTCATTGATTATTTATATATCAATTAACATTTTAATTATTTTTTTCAACACCAGAGAAACTAGATTCTCTGTTGTAGTTAGATATGCACACAATAAACTGTGTAAATAATTATCTGATATTTTTACAACCTGCCTTTTTCATAATGAATACATTGAAGAACAGACACCATGACCCCAAGCTTGCTTCAAAAAGGTAAATAAATGCTCTGTTATAAACTTAAAGCTTTCTTATATATTCTTCCAATGAAAGTTTTAGGATATACTGTGTTCAAAGTGTCTGGGATTTTTGCTTGTCTGTTTGTTTGTAGTCAAGGGCTATACATTTGTATTCGATCATTCTGAATCATGCCTATAGCATTTTTGGCAATATGTATTTACTATTTAAACATTCCAAATTCAATTGTCAAAATTTTGAAAAAGTTATTGCTATTGAGCTCACCTGAGCCTAAGACTAGAATGAGCTTTTCGGATTGAAGTCTGTCCCTTGCCTGTCGTAATCGTTGTCATCGTAAACTTTTCACAATTTCATATTTTATATAGTTTCAAATCACATTACATATAACTAAATTACATGCAGTGTTTTTTTTTTTTGTATTTCCAAGAGCTCAATCAGCAGAATCTTTATATTGAAGGCTCCACCCGTGCCTTAACATGAAAAGTTTTCACATCATTTGACCATGATCCAAGGGACTGATGAAAATTTTCAAGTGCACAGGGTAATTACTTTTTCTGGTAACATATTTTAATTAATAATACATGTAATTATCATGACATTGGCACTTCTTAATAATTTAATTATTTTCTTCATCATTTTAGAAGCAATGCAGTCACTGTCAGGGAAATTAAGCCAGAATTGTGTAAAAAATTGAAAAATAAATGCAGGATTAATACTTAAAATTTTGTTCTTTTAATTTCGTATTGTTTACTTAAAGCATTTAACTACAAGTTTAATATCTAGTTCATTTTGTTCACATTGCAATCAAAGGAAATACCAATTATAAATAGGAAAATTTAAAGAAAGAAATGAAATTAACATATGCTCAACATATGAACAGAAACGTATGTTGACCATATGATCATACAAAACATATGAATAACATATGTTAAACGTATAATTAACATACGTTTCGAAATATATTTTAACCATATGTTGCTCGTTTTTTATGGCGAACATATGTTTCGGAACATATATTAAATGTATGTTCAACATATGTTGAACATATGTTGCAATTTTACCTGTGTTGAATGCGTAACACGTACATATATGGACTAAACACTTGGACATAAAATCCATAAATATTTTTTTTTCTTGATACATAAAAAAACAGTAGTGAATATGTATGATGCATTCATGAATTAACAACCTAGTCTGTACCTCGTGGATTCATATGACGAAATATATATCTGCACTGTAACCGACGTTTTGTCAAACACTAGATCTAATGGTCTTCCACGCAAAAGAGGAGGGGCCGGGTGGAGGGTGTATTAAAAAATTACCGAAAAATCAACAGTTGAATACGCTGTACATATGACATATATGTACTTTTTTAATTTTTTTTATCAAAAGCAAAATTCCAATTTGAATTTTTAAACATGTTTATTTGTATATTCATAGCATAGTAATCGACCCAAGTCTGAAAGACGAGCGGGAGCGTAATTTAGGTAAAGGGGGATGGGGTAAATTTCCAATATTAAATCAAAACTGGTCGTACAAAAATTCTACAAAAGAATTCTGAAGATTGTTTTTACTACCATATACCTAAAAACGGTTTATTAACAAAATAAAAAGACAAGTTTTTTCACAAAACAATTCTGAAATTGAAAAATACAAATTTTTCAAGGCTACGTTAATTCATAGCTTTTCGGTTTAAGGGTCACTAAAAATTTTATTGATGATATGCATATCAAAAAGATGACTATATTTTTGTGTTAAATGGTTCAAAAAATAATTCAATGAAATTTGACAGTTATAGCTAACCTGTTATTTTTTGATAACCAATGTTTAAGTAGTTCATTGATTAAATTTTTTTTTCTTTTCGTAATCAGCTAAAGGAGGGTAACATTTGGAATTTCCTTTCCAAAAACCACTCTAACGATTTCGTTCAAAATTTGCACATACACAGTAGATATAGTCAAGTATTAAATATACAAAAATAGCAAAATAAAAAACGACAGGAATTTTTTTTTACTATTTACCTCTGTGTATTATTCCATTTCTTTAAGATGACCCTAAGGAAGAATAGTGCTTGCACTAATAGTCACCCTCTTAAAATAAGGTATTATTATTAATAATATTAGTCAACGTTAAATGCAAAGCTGTGCATCATTTGTGATGATTAACACATTGAAATGCATGCTTCCATCACAAGGAAGTGTTTTGTGGGTCGTGAACTTCCATGGTTTCTTTATTGATTTACTTACAGGGAAATATATACATATTACGAACAGTGTTCAAGCCCAAATTTTCCTCAAACAATACAATTTAGTAGCTGAGCAAACATTGACCATTGAAACATCTAAGTAATGGGCAGTGATGAGTGATCATTTTCAGCAGACTGTCACACGCTCCGTTTGCTACTTCTCATGACAAAAAACGTAAAAAGCTGTCGACAATTTAATGTGAAAAATATGTCCTTACAATTACTATGAAGAACAACAGTCAGTATTTCACTTACGGGGTAATAATAAATTCTATTTGATGTCAAGAGCATTTTATCCACTCAATTAAACAAATCGCGAACAATAGCAATGTTATCACCAGCTTTGTCAACTGGGACCACTACATACAGATTGCATAATCTATTCAATTCTTTTTCACTTATGAATTATTAAACTCAGGAAAGGAAAATGTCTTCTACTGTACAGATCTATCTCCCTAAAGGTAAACACATGTAATGATGAGTTATTAGTTATCATTAATATAAAATAAGCATAGGCCATTTAACGACATTCTAAGTAAGGGATCAAACAAATATTAATGCTTAGAATTATGTGTTAAACCAAGTGTTGAGTTTTAAAGGGACATGTTTACGTCACTCGTATTTCAATAACTTTTTATTCACAACACATTAAAAGGATTCCATACATCTAATTATGCAAATGAATTAAACCTCTTTAAGAGTATTTGGTTTTCATAAATATTAGATTTAAATAAGATCACATAACAACAAACAAACGACATTGACATTAATAAAGTATTGGACAATTAAGCAAATTGATGGTTATATAATTCAGGAGATAACCAACCAACTCTCTCTCTCTCTCTCTCTCTCTCTCTCTCTCTCTCACGTATTGTTAACTGGCCCTTCAATATAGTCTGTAAATCAGGGTTCTCCATCATTTGAGATTTTACTGTGTTGCAGAGTTTACGCGAAGCACTAATATTTCGCGGTATGTTCGCTAACAAATTAGCGACTGAATCACAATTCATTATAATTACAAAAGATTACATATATATATCATTCGTAAAGTAATGGTGACAAAGAAGTTATTCGACTTTGCCAGCTTATGGATATCATCACTGCCTACAAAATGTCATTTTAAGTGTATTAAAAATACTAAAAATGTATTTAAAATTATTGCGTTCAAATGTGTGCTCAAAACGTAAACATATGTAAGTTTCGAGGTTAAGTCATTATAAAGATATGTTTTCAGTGGGAAAACATGTGTTTGATTGCTGAATTGTAGAATCTGAATAATATAATATATCTTTAATTGAATTTTAATTTGTAAAATAACATGCGTCAATAAGCCAACAGACACAAAATGTTGCTTATGATATTAACTGATTACCCGAACCAATTCTTGTATTCACCCAAGTTATATTATCTACCGATTCACTCTTCAGTTTCTGGATTGTCATTAAAGTTAAAGAAAATCTGCTTAATTTACCGTACTTTTTGTTTATTTTTTAAAAATCACATAAAAGTAATATAAAAATGTTTAGATGGAGAGAGAGATCGAGAGAGAGATCGAGAGAGAGATCGAGATCGAGAGATCTTTCTATTGATTACAGGGTCCGACACTCGTCAAAATTTGGTCTCGCCATTCGGGCAACCTTGGTATGATCACAGGTTGCCCAAATGAATTTCAGGTCGTCCAAATAAAATATCAATTGAAACAAAACTTAATGTGCAATTGTTTACAATTTGTTAAGATAATTAGTAGAAGTTGTGTTTTTGTATTAAAAAATGTAAACCAGACATTATTTGGAATTTAAAGATGTCTTCTAGTATTTTATCAAACAAAAATACACATGTATAAGCAGAATCAGACATGCAGAATGCTAAAGTTTGTAGCTTAAAACATTCATTTTCACATGCCATAAAGGCCTAAATATATGGGGTCAAATAACCCTGGACTGAATTAATCAGGTGTTACATTACAGTGGACACCCAAAATGGCTGTCTAGCAGCAGAAAACGATCATTAATATGATCAGAAAGTTATAGGGGAAATGCAAGATGCTACAAATTGTAGCATATATAGTGAATTTCGAACCCTGACAATGATGATTTAAAGGTGATTGTTGACTAAGTTGGCATCTTTTATATCTCAAATAATACTTTATTAAAATTGCATCAGCTGATTGATCGAACGAAGATTTGACAGGAGAGAAAATCTTCGCGGCTGCAATTTGAACATGTTGAATGGGTTGGTTTTGTTACAGGAAAATATGTTTTCAAGGTCTTATGAAGTTTAGTTTAAAATATTAAACATCATTATTAAATATTCCCAACTTGTCCCAGGTCGTCATTTGGGCGAGAGAGAGAGAGAGAGAGAGAGAGAGAGAGAGGAGAGAGAGAGAGAGAGAGAGAGAATGTCGAACCCTGAGATTATGTCAGCTGTGTACCAACTGATGTTGAACATGACTTATAACATGGGAAAACAAGGTTAAAACTTTGATTATGGTTAGGAACATCCTAGATTTCCTCAAAGGGATTTTGTGAAGGAACGAAAAATCATATTTAAAAATCTTTTACTGCGAAAATAACAAGACCTGCCGGTTAAAACTAAACGACGGCCTTCATTCATTTGAGTGATGTCTCAGTTGCCTTTCAGTGTCACATTTCAGGTACCTCTTAGTCAAAGTTCATCGAACACATTTTCACCAATTTTTTAGTGAGTTTTCCGTCGTCCTTCAGTGACCTTTTTGTCGTCTTTCAGTGACCTTTCTGTCTACTTTTATTTACCTTTCATCCACCTTTCAGTAATTTTTTAGTCTCAATTCAGCGATTTATTTACTAGCTTATTATTTTATAATCATATACATTTCCTTTACAATATTTTGAATCAATTCATTACCCAATCTGAACTATGTTTTTTCTCGTGATAAAGTTCACGTACCTTAAACTGATACTTCCAGTTTGAGGAGGTTAAGTTGTCTTTAAAGTGTTTACTAAATTGTTAAAGTGTGATAATAAATTTAACAAAAAATGTGTAAATGATTATTATATTTTTACAAAATAAATGATGCTAATTCAAAATGATTTCAATTTTTCTAGTTAGATTTAGAAATAAAAAAAAATCAAAGGATAAAGTGTAATGAACTGATAGTCGAATCAAAATTTGATTAAATATCGTAAATGTTTGTCTATTTTTTTCTGTAAATCTCTTAATGGGTTATGAATATTCAATATTATAAGCATGTATATGTATGAGCAATCAATCAATTAAAAAAAAAAGTCTATTTCTGTCAAAATGTTTTTAATTTAAACAAGAATACAAACATTTATTTCATTTTTAGAGCTTATTATAGATGTCATTATTCTTTCTGTAGTGCTTATGTATTGAACAATGAGACATAAACGCATTTAGATGAAGGAGGTCCATAGGAAACGCCTTTAAATATTCCGAGAAAATAAAAAAAAACATTGATATTACTGTATTGGCATGAGTTTTAATAGAATGAAAATTCTA